AATCAATTGTGTTTTTTTTGAACCTATTCTCTATCCTTCCATTGTTGGATATAGGTCTCCCCCAGTTCTCTCCATCTTTCCCTATCTTGAGCTATTCTCTGCCATGTGGGACCTCCTTGTTTCCTGACGTCATCTTTCCACCTCATCTGTGGTCTGCTCTTGATCTTTTTGCATTGAATGCCGTCTTGGAGACGTTCATTGTGTCCAGCCCATTTCCATTTCAGTTTTGCTGCTTGTTCTATCGCGTCTACTGTCTTTGTTCTGGTTCTGATCCACTGGTTACGTTTTATATCTCTAAGTGATACACCCAACATTTGTCTCTCCATCGCTCTTTGTGCCTTCCTTATCCTATCCAAATTGGCCTGTGTAAATGTCCATGTCTGTGCTCCGTAGGTGAGCACCGGTATTATACAGGAGTTATATACCTTGCTTCGTAAGTATAGAGGGATTGTTTGATTTTTTAGAACGTAAGAAAGTTTGCCGAACGCTGCCCATCCCATTCTTACTCGTCTCGATATTTCGGCTGTTTGATTTTCTCTGTTAGCTCTGATTGCTTGTCCTAGATAGATATACTCATTTACCTGTTCTATTTTTTCTGTTTTTATTTTTTATTGCCTCTTGGTCTTCCGTGTTTGTCATTACTTTTATTTTGTTGAAGTTAATTTTTAGGCCTTTTGCAGTGATTTTTCATGAAGTTCATTCAGCATTAATTCCATTTCTTGTTTTTCCGAGGAGATCAGGAGTATATTATCCGCATATCTAAGGTGATTTAGGTATTTTCCGTTAATACATATTCCTCTGTTTTCCCAATCTGTTGATTTTATTATGTCTTCGAGGGTCAAGGTAAACAGTTTAGGTGAAATTATATCGCCTTGTCGGACTCCTCGTTTAAGTTTTATATTATCCGTTATTAATTTGTCGTCCAGAATTACGGCCATGGTTGCGTTTTGGTAAATATCAATAATTGTCGGTATCTTGAATCTATTCTACTATTGATCAGAGCTTCTTCAACCGCCCAGTGTTCAATGCTGTCGAAAGCCTTTTCATAATCTACGAATGCTAAGTACAGCGGAAGGTTGTACTCATTGGTTTTTCTCAATGCACTCAAGATTTTAAGCGCATGTAGATGGTCGATTGTGCTGTATCCTTTCCTGAATCCGGCCTGTTCCACTGGTTGGTAGTTATCAAGTTTATAGGTTAGTCGGTTGTTTATTATTCTTGTGAAGGTTTTATATAGTTGCGACAAAAGGGAAATAGGACGGTAGTTGTTTAGGTCTGTTCGGTCTCCCCTCTTATGTATTAAGATTGTGTTGGCATTTCTCCATTGTTTAGGTATTTTACCTTCAAACAGACATTTGTTGAACAGTATTTTTAGCATTTTTTTTATCGTGTCTCCTCCTTCTTTTAGCAATTCCGCCAGTATTTTGTCCTCACCGGCCGCTTAATTTCTTTTCATGTCGTTTATGGATTTTTCGATTTCATCTTCAGTTATTTCTCGTAATACCTCTGAGCCAACATTTTGTTATTTTCCTCGAGAGATTCTGTTTAGATGGTGGTGGTGGGTCATTTTTAGAACTGTATAGGTCTGTGTAATATCTTTCTGTGATTTTTACTATTTCTTATTCTATTATTACTTCTTTCTTCATTGTTCTTAGCTTTAAGCATGATTAGTTTTCTTTTTCCTATATTTGTCTTCATTGTTTTTAAACTTTTGTTCTTCTCTATGATTTTCTTAATGCGGTCTTCTCGGTATTTCTTTAAATCTTCCTTTATCTGTTTTCTTATGGTTTTGTTCAGTTCGGTAAACTCCACTGTATTTCTTTTGTTATCATTGTGTATAACCACGAAATTTTATTTTGTACATAAGTAACTAGGTTAACTGTACATAAATGGTAGTGGATAGCTATAAGAAATTAGACTGTGTATATTTGGATAGGTATTAAATTTGTGGTGAAGACTAAATATTTCGATTAATAGCTGTTTTCCTTTTTATTTTAACAAACAGCTTTACAAGATATCTTGGAAAGTATATTTTAATACTGTCCTAACGCCCAATCACATCTTAGAGCAACTTTCCTAGTTTATCACTTTAATTTACATTATTTCTATATTTCTTTATTTTCATTCTTTTTCTCATTTTATGGTTTCTGTACGGCATGCAAATTGGCCGAATCCCCGTTTGAGTGTCAAGTAGTCATTTTCCAGCACCTTCTGCTGGCCATCTTTAATTTAATTTGTTTTTTGTCACATTGGCGCTCTATTGTAATTTGTTACATTAGTCCAAATACTTGTGTTACATTACACATACACATTTTTATTATATTGGCGTCCTAAGCCACCCATTCACACTTTTTTTGTTACAATTTGGAAAAATATTTTGTAGCTACTTTAAATTTGGCGCTTTTGCAATAATGGATATGTCCTCTATATTAAGAGGCCACTTTTATGAATTTTGGTCTCCTTTTCATAACGATTAGATTCTCTCTTTTGTCTTTTTGCTTGATGATTCTCCTACAGCCAACGTTGTTCAAGATACAATCCACAAATTAAAATAATTGATGATTGTTTTAAATGATCAATAAATTGAGGAAAAAATGGATTTATGCTAAAAATAAAGCATTTTTTATGTACCATTGCTTTTAATGGTGATTGTTTTATGTGTAATATTATTTTAATAGATTCTAACAATGTCTTAAATACAATATATCCACATCCACAGGGACACGAAAAAGGTATCTACCTCTACCCAGTCCTCCCCTGAAGGCGAATTTATATTTGAATCCTGTCTTGGTATAATCTCGAAAGTTAGTAGCCGGCTAATTGTTTAACTAACACTGTTAGACCCTAAAGTTTCGATATCTTTGTTGCAAGGCCAAGTTTGGGGACTTTTCCTCAACTCTCTGCGGATGATGGTCGGTAGTTTTACGAAAGAAAATCTTGAATTCTAATGATGGTGGGGTCGATACATAAATAAATAGTTCACATTCGAAACTTTGGGATTGTGTTTTGTTTTTCCTCGGGAGAGTTTAAAAAGTTTGTTCCAAGCGACTGTTTTAGCTTGATTAAGGCCCTAAATTATCTTTTAAAGGGCACCTTTGAACAAAAAAAGGATGTTTCTTTTAAATAAAAAATTATCTGAAAACTTTAGTTGTACAGTCGGGATAAGACATTTTAGGATTAGATAAGAGCACCTCTATTATATTTTAATACAAAATGAAAATATCTAAAACATTTTAGAATTGCCAAAAATAAACTGGATACCAAATTATATGAAATCAAAAATTAAATTTATATCCAATACCTTTCATTTAACAGCGTGAAATACTGAACAAAACAAAAAAATTATTAATTTAAAAGGTATAGAGGCGAGAGTGGTCCACAGTGACACATGTTACACAGTGGGACAATGCATTTTCTGAGAACATGTCAACAGCGCTTTGCATGCTATCTTCACTATAAGGTTGTCTCAAGACGTAGATTCTGCCCACGGTTCGTAGACTTACTACGGTTGCCTAATCCGACTGGGGTGGGGAGAGTTATATGCTTGACTAACGTCACCAGAGTACTCACGAATACAAACCCATTTATTATCAGTTTGTTCGTGATAATGATCTTTGAGTTTATTATTTGCTTCATTACTTATCGTTTCTTCAATATCTTAGTTAACTTTACTATATTTTTGGATTTGAAATTTTGGTGTTGTTTCCTGTAAATACTTATTTTGAGATATCAAAGTAAAGTTATTTATTGTAGTTGTATATCGTAGCTCTTGTAGAGTACCTTACATAAGAATATCTTTTTATAAGGTAGGTTAAAACTTTTATTGTGTATTAACGTTATAATAGTATTCATGAAATTTTAGAATGCCAGACAAAGGTTGTAGTTTGGTGACTTGTAAAAATATTTTTTATAAAAACAAGAAATCTGCTGATTCTGATTTCTAATTGGCGCGGGGGTTAGCGCGAACATTTCTGGTAGTAGGATTTTGATTGGCGGGTGGAGTGAATATTTATCTATTCTTTTTCTTAACATGCCATACACCAAAGTGCGTAGGCGACTATCTCATTACTAGAATTCTGTTCTTGGCGGCGTGACACAGCTCACCTGTATTGTGAATTCCTGTCCATTCTTTAATATTCCTTAACCAGGACAATTGTTTGCGGCCGGCTCCTCTCCTACCTTCGATCTTCCCTTGTAGGATTAACTGTGGTATTTCATATTTTGCTCCTCTCAATATGTGCCCAAGGTAACCAATCTTGCGTTTTGTAATTAATTCAAAAAGTTCTCTTTCCACGCCGGCTCTATTAAGGACGTCATCGTTTCGAACTCTATCCACCCAAGGTATGCGCATCATTCTTCTCAATGACCACATTTCAAATGCTTCAAGTTTGTTGATAGATGTTGATAGATGTTCGTTTTCAAAATGTTGATTTTGAGGCCATATTTTTTACCTATGCTATTCACCCTATCAAGTAATAACTGCTGATCTTCCAAATTATCAGTTATAATCACTGTGTCGTCCGCATAGCGTAGGTTGCTAATTGGTATGCCGTTCACCTTAATGCCTAATTCCGTATCTTCTAATGCTTCCGCAAATATATTTTCAACATATAAATTAAAAAGCATCGGAGAGAGTATGCAGCCTTGGCGGACATCTTTCCGGATTTCAAATTCATCCGTATATTGGTCTTGATCAATCCTCACCTTTGCCATTTGGTTCCAGTATAGATTCTGAATAATTCTGATCTCCTTCTGGTCAATGTTGGCCCTATGTAGTAGTTCCATCATGATTATCATGTTTAACATTGTCAAATGCCTTCTAGTAGTCGATGAAGGTGAGGTAGACATCTTTTCGTTGATCTAAGCAGTTTTGTATTAAGGTGTTCAAACATAAAATTGTCTCTCTTGTTCCTAGTCCTCCCTTAAAACCGAATTGTGTTGACCCGCTAAGTTCTTCTAGTATCTAGTATCTATAAATAAATAATATATTTTCTACTTACCAATTGTTGTAATAACTATGATGGAATAAAATAATGCTCCAGTACGCGTCCATTGAACTTTCTTCGGATCCTCTTCGCCGTTCCAGCCCTCCTTGTTCATTTTGTCTAGCAAGGAATTTTCAAAATCTTTCAAATATTGGATAGCTCCGATCGTGAAGTTTATTTGGTCTAGAGCTTTCATCTCCTGAGTGAAGTTCCACAGATGTCTGGTGACATTTTCTCGAATCAGTGGAATTCCTTCTTTAATCTTAAATTAATAAAAAAAATATAATGTAAATTTAATTTTTTTCCTCTGCTGATGAAAATTATTGTCCATGCAAAGTATTATTGACATTGGTGAAAGCAAAAAGTTATTTAAAACCAAATCAGAACTGTGCAGTGGATGACCCATTAATTCGGTTTGGTTTTCGGGAAAATCACTCCACTGCACAACAAGTCCATCGAATGATATTATAGAAAATGTCGAAAAGGCTTGAAGAAAAGAAATACTTTATCTTTTTATGCACAACAGGGCCGTTAAGACCTAGGGCAATTTTTTTACAACATAATCCTAATATTAACTAATTACAATTATTTTAAACAAAATTTTAACTTAAATATATATATACAACATTCTTCACTACTCCGAAGGACCTGGTGTACAATATTTCTCCATTTGCTTCTATTTTGTGCTTTTCTTTTCCAGTCCCTCACCTTCCCGTGTTTAAGGTCTTCATCCACTTTACTAATCCACCTCGTTCTGGGTCTACCTCTTCTTTTGGGGCCGATTAATTTTCTGGGTGTAACTAGTTTAGGCATTCTGTTTACTGCCATTCTTTCCACATGTCCCAACCATCCGATTGTTTGTGCCTTGACGAACTTGGTAATAGTAGGTTCTTTGTAAAAAGCCATTAATTTCATTGTTGGTTTTTCTCTCCCAACCATATTCTGACTTCCTTCCTCCGAATATGCATCTCAATATTTTCCTTTCCCATCTTTTCAGAGTATCTTCTTTCTTCTTATTTAATGTCCATATCTCACCGGCATATGTTACTGGCGGTCGAATTACTGTTTTATATATTTTGAGTTTACCTTGACTAGAAACGTATTTTTAGTTCAATAGGGCTCTTAAACTATCTCATTTTTTATTCCCTTTTGCTATTCTGGCTTTGAGATCCCATTTCTCTTTTCCATTTTCATCGAAAACTACACCCAGGTATTCAAATTTGTCTAGCCTTTTAAACTTAATAGTTCTAAGACAAAATTTATGGTTGTCAGCAAAACGGAGTTTTGCGTCCATCAGAGCGTATGGAATAGAGTTAGAAAGAGTCCACAATATTACCTACATGGGTGCAAACGTTAACGATAACTGGGATATAAATAAAGAAATAAGAATACGCATTGAAAACGCCAGAGCCGCCTTCTATAAATTAAAGAAAATTCTAATTAATAGAGATATTACGTTAAATCTTAAAATCAGATTAATACGCTGCTACATATTCTCCACATTGCTGTATGGTATGGAGAGCTGGACCCTTACAGAGACATTAATGAAAAGATTAGAGGCCTTTGAGATGTGGATTTATCGACGAGTATTGCGGATAAGTTGGATTGATTGAATAAGAAATGAAATAGTTTTACATCGAATGAAAAAGGGCACACAAATAACAAAAACGATAAAAATTCGGAAGTTACAATATTTCGGTCATGTAATGAGACATCCAGAGAGGTATAACCTTCTACACCTCATAATACAGAAACCACCTTTAATTTATTTAGAGCCGCCGTGAATAAGGATATTATTGCCAATATGATCGCCAATGTTCGATAAATTGGACAGGGCACTGAAAGAAGAAGAAGCCTTTTAAAACTATAGCTTTTTACCACTTACAGACCTCACACCAAAGTCTTCGTTTTTTTCCTTCCGTCCTTCCCATGATCATGTATTTGGTTTTTTCGTCATTTAGTTCCAATCCGAATTTCTGTGCTTCTTCGATGATTTTCTTCGCAACTCTTCTTAATTCTTTTTCGGTTTTTGCTAGGATCGTTAGATCGTCAGCAAATGTCAAGCACTGGTGCTCATTTTTAATGATTAGATTTTTCATATTTCTAGACATTTCGCACAAATCCTATATATCAAATAGGTATTTCTCTGAAAAATTCAATTATCAACAATCGAAACTCTGTCCTATTAACTCTGGAATCCCGTAGGCTGCTGCTTTTCTCACTCTACACAGCCTATATACCTGAGACTAATAATACTACAGTCGCTTCCTTTGATGATGGCGTAGCAATACTTACTGTAAATAAAGATCCCATACAAGTCTCACAAAACCTGGAACATCATCTGAACATACTCAGTGATTGGTACACAAAATAAAGAACAAAAATAAACAAAATTTACATTTACTAACCACCACCGCCATCACGGAACATGTAAGAATACCAACAGTACCAGACGCTAGATACCTTAGCCTCTATCTTGACCAACGTCTCACTTGGAAGAAACATATCCAGACCAAAAGAAGACAGTTCCACTTGAAATGCCGGCAAATGTATTGGCTCCTCGGGCGTTAATCAAAACTTAACATCCAAAACAAAATTCTTCTATACAGAGCCATACTCAAGCCTATCCGGTTCTATGGACTACACCTATGGGGCTGTGCAAAGCCAACGTCGCTGAATATCATCCAAAGATTTAGTCTAAAGTACTAAAATCGATAGTAGATGCACCATGGTACGTAAATAATCAAACACTTTACTACGACTTAAAGATTCCTTACATCAGAGAATAAATTCATTGAGCCATGGAGTCACAAAATGAAAGTACCATTCATCATGAAAATGAGCTAGTAAGGGAATTATTTAACAATGTTCCAGCCACAAGAATACTATATAGAACCTGACCCCACGACCTACTTCAAAACTAAACCAAAATAGAATAAGGTGAGACATCATTGGATGTCTCTTCTTCACGTCCAAAACTGTGATTGGTAGCAATGCAGATTGATTGATTTGTTTATAGCAGTATGTTTAAAAATAAGAATAAGAAGTTCCACCATGCTGTATATATGTTATGGACCATATGATTAATTGATCATTTTTCATAATGCCCGGGTTATATAAAAAATGCCCAATACTGTCGGTCAATATAATAAATACTATTAAATTCATCACATTGCCCGGGCATTATGTATAATGCTTGGCATCTACTAGACAGGATGATTAAAACTACTTTTATTTTTATTAAATATGAAATATATTTATTTTGATACAATCAAGTATGTAGTAAAAACTAAAATATTTCTTATATACTAATGAAAACAGTCTTGTAGTCTTCTGTGAAATGGCACATGAGTACATTTAATGAATAAGTATACATAAAAAATATAATACGTATTAACGGTAATTGAGGAAACCAAAAAAAGAATTCTGTGTTTTTATTTGCATTTTTTTCTAATGACCGAAATCGATGGTAACACACAAAGCGGCCAGTGAGAAATTAAATCGTTTTTCTTCTAAATCAAACTCAATTTTAAATAAAAATACACTTACCACCTTTGCGTGTTACATCATCGAAATTTATTTTGTATGAATGATTTACACCCACCTTTACAACCGCACCTACTGTATCCTTGTCCTCCACAGTTAAAAGATTTTCTTGCGCATTCTCTAAGAGATATCTCAGTGTCTGGAATCTCTTCTGTGGAGATAAACTTTTCTTTACAAACGGTAAACTGGTTTTCTTGAATATAACTGATTTAGTATGCCATATTTTGTGCCTAGTTTGTAGAGCTTTTTTTTCAGTTATGTCTGTCACGATAGCTAGTAGATTTCTTTGATCACTACGAGCTCGGTCCACATCTGGCACTCGTATCCTAACTGTGTTACCTAGTTTAGCCGATGGATATTTGGAATTGGAAAATTTTAACATCTTCTCGGCTTGTTGTTCTAGATTCGTCAAAGCCAATTTTCTGTTCTTCCTTACATCGTTTATTCTAATATCTATATTGGAATCCAGATTTTCATTATTTTCTAAATTAACTACAATAGCCGTTTCTACCGCATTTGTTAAAAATTCTGGAACTTGACTAGATTGACGAGATGAATTGTCATCAATTATAATTGCTTTAATTTTTTGAACGTCCAGGGTGTAGCCAGATGATATGGAACTTGATTCGGGCAACATTATTGAAGAGTCCACATTTATATTAATATTTCGTATTATATCCGGGTTTGTAGATAGCCCAGCCTCTTGATTTTTGAACAGGACCTCTAAGTCTTCCTCCGAATTAACATCAGTCAGAACTTCTTGGGGTAGAGAGCTTTTTAAACCAACTTTCAACTTTGTGCTGAGCATGGTTTCATATGGACTACAACCTATGCCAGTGTGATGAGCTCTATTTTTCATTAGTTAAACAAAACGTAAGCCTTCAGACCATTTGTTTGTATTGTTGTCTTCTAACCACGAACTAAGCATATTCCCTACGTCTTGATTGGCCCTTTCTATAGATCCTTGACTCTAAGAATGTCTGGGTTTGCCATGTACCATTTTTAACTCGGGCCACATGCTACACAGCTCTTTGATAATATGGTTAGCGAATTCTTTGCCATTATTACTATGAAGCACACTCGGGGCGCCCCAAATATTGTGAAAATATCCAAAAGTACATGCGATACTTCTTTTGCTTTTTTACTTGTAAGAGGTCGAAGTTGGACAAATTTGGTAAGATGGTCTTGATAAACAAGCACAAATTTATAGCAGCCATCGGCTTGTGACTGCACTGCATATCGATTAAATCGACTTGGCATCTTGAATTCATTTCCTTGCTCAATATTGGTTTCACCACCAAGCCTTTCTTTGGAACATTATGTTTTTTCTGACAGGTCATGCATAAATTTAAATAGATAACAATCATCTCTCTTGTAATATTTTTAAATTTAGAATGTACTTCCTTCTCCATTTGATTTCTACCACCATGCCTGATAGTAATATGAAGATCGCGCAATGTATCAAATATTTCTTCTGTATGGACGTAGTATTTAATTACGTTATCTTCTTTCACAGGAACAATCAATTTTTCTACTTCTCTAATCGTCATAACGTCGAATCTTCGTAAGCGCTGATAATCACTCGGCGTTTTATTTGTCTGTTTACTTTTAGAGTTTTTTACCTTCTGTATCATTTCCATGTAGGCTGTTTTTGTGAAAATTTATGAATTTTGACTTTTTGCTCAAATTAATTCAGTTAACCGATTGTTAAATCGATTTTTCATATCACTTATTGGTTCTTCTTTTTCCATAGTTCACTATGCAATACTTTATAAACAAAGAATTAACAAAGAAATGTCACAAACAAACCACTTGTCGTATATACTATTACTAACATTCAACTGCAATATGATTTATAAATAATGGCCGACGAGCTTCGGTGACTGTAACCTTGGATACAGCGCGTTGATTCGCTGCTGAAGATCGCATGATTTGCTAAAAACGCCGATTTATCACATTGCCCGGCCACAGTATAGCATTTTTCATAATGACCAGACAATATGATAAATTGTAAAAAGTTATCAAATTGCCCGCTGAAGTTAGTCATTATTAATAATGACCGGGCATTATACATAATGGCTAACATAATCACTTTGTCCATAACATATACATAGTTTTAACCATAAATTATTAACTAACAATATTTCTATTTTACTAACCTGTTTTTCATTTTTTACTTCCAACGCCTCAAAAGTAAACGCCCCCAAAACACAATATGACACTACCAGTGATATTAGAAACACGTGCGAAAATAAGCACGTTATTGTTTTCCAAGTGTAATGTAGAACTTTTGTGCAACACCTCGGGGACTCGTATTCCGATATATCCGGATCTGATTTATAACGAGACATTGTTCACTAAGAAAAATAATTTCACTTATTTTTATTTAGAGCAAGCACATTTTTATTATTAAATTTTTCTTATCAACGTTTGTTTTGGATCATAGGAGGGATTTTAATCCTGTAAACTAATAAATATGTTGAAAACTGTGTAAATGTGAGTTCATAATCAGTAGAATATAATATATTGTGGAATAATAATCCAAAACTCATAATTTGTTTAAGGCCAGGTTCCTCCAAACAAGCTAAAACTGAAATGGAAATGGGCTGGACATAATGAACGTCTTCTACGGATGGCCGATGGAATAAAGAAATCGGGAATTATCGGGACGATATTAAACGAACTGAAGGACAATGTGGAAACCTCTTACAAATAACAGAGATGAATGGAGAGAACTAGGAGAGGCCTATATTCGGCAATCCGAAGAGAAAAGGGCTTTAAAAAACTCTTAGAAATAAGGTAAAACTATTGAAATTCTTTTGTAAATACGTTTAGTTAAAACCATTGATTATAAATCACCACCTAGATAGCTCACTTCGTGGTAACCGAAAGACGTATCAAAAACTAGATGGCGTTACTCGAAAACCGTATCGAGATTCTCATTCTCTCTCTGACTTGCGAGGAGATAGTAGTAGTGTCAGGGCCGAACTTACCCAGTAAGTGTATTATCTGTGTCAAGTGTTGTGACAAGATATAGCGAAATTTTATAAAAAAAGGACTTACATTTTAGATAAAATGGCCTCTGTAACGCATCATTTGCCAGTATCATTTTGCAGTGGAACATATTTACCAAAGGGGCCAAAGAAAGTTATTATGGAAAAAGGCTATTCCTCTAAAATTTACACAGTTAGCAACTGATTTAGGTGAGTACTCAACTTTAGAAATATTTTTATAAAAATCGTAAAATAGTTTCGAAACATAATTCAGATTTCTGCTTATAATCTGAACCTTCTAAAAATTGCAAGGCAAACAGATGTTGATAAAAGATGTTAAAAGAGACATGGGGAATCAAAAATTTGCATTCCACGACATGTCTTTTACAACTAAGCAAAAATCCTTAGCGAATTGTGCTTCTAGTACTCACACAGAGTAAATCCGAATAAAATGAAAAAAGGCAGCAAATATTTGATTTCATGCAAACAAATCCTATGTATCTGTTGATACGTATTTCGACCTAATAGGTCTCGTCAGAACAGCTATTCATAGAAGTTCTCAACGTGAAAAATCAATATTTTCTGCCTTTTAAGAAGCAACAATAACATGGCTTCAATACGGACGCGCTAGCGACATCTAATTACAAAAATCGTAAAATAGTTTCGAAACACAATTCAGATTTCTGCTTATAATCTAAACCTTCTAAAAATTGCAAGGCAAACAGACGTTGATAAAAGATGTTAAAAGAGACATGGGGAATCTAAAATTTGCATTGCTGCCTTTTTTCATTTTATTCGGATTTACTCTGTGTGAGTACTAGAAGCACAATTCGCTAAGGATTTCTGCTTAGTTGTAAAAGACATGTCGTGGAATGCAAATTTTAGATTCCCCATATCTCTTTTAACATCTTTTATCAACGTCTGTTTGCCTTGCAATTTTTAGAAGGTTTAGATTATAAGCAGAAATCTGAATTGTGTTTCGAAACTATTTTACGATTTTTGTAATTAGATGTCGCTAGCGCGTCCGTATTGAAGCCATGATATTTTTGCTTCTTAAAAGGCAGAAAATATTGATTTTTCACGTTGACAACTCCTATGAATAGCTGTTCTGACGAGACCTATTAGGTCGAAATACGTATCAACAGTTATTTAACGTTATTTAAAATCTGAAGTATATTTTAATAGACCAAACAGTATTGCTGATTTAAAAGTTAGGTTAATGGAAGAAATTAACGGAAGAAAATAACCACCGAGGTCGTACAAAATGTACGAGAATTGCAAAATCGCCTGGGTTATTGTGAAGAAGTGAATCGTGGTCATTTTGAACATTAAATTACATTGAAAATTACATTCTAAATGTTATGTTATATTATCAAAATTTTACTTATTTCTTAAAAATCACTTTCCTCAGTTATGATTGCACCAAATTTAAAAAACTTTATATTGTTGAACAAATGACTAAAATCCCTTTTTAACAAGGTGTCACACGACCCCCTTTATTATTTAAAATTTTCAAGGGAGTCCTTATAATTCAAAGGGGGTGCTTGAGGGGGATAGTATTTTTATACTGTAAATTGTCAATTTAAGAATAAAACTTGACCTGTTTCAGGTTTTCTTCACATAGTACGTAATAACACTAAAAATGAATTTATTCCATACATACGGACCGCATGGTATGCATAAAGTAATATTGAATTTAAATCAACCAAGTCTCATGTACTATGTAGAAATGAAAAAATTACTCATTTACAACAAAATCACTATTCATTTATTAACACACGTATCACAATCAATCCACACGCGCACGATATTGCACAAAACTGTTGCTGAACATCATTTTTTAATTCTAAACCGACCGATACACCATTTTACAAAAACCGGTGTTTATTTTTCTTCGGCTGTATTCAGTTAGAATGAGGAAAAGTCAATTTTCATCATTGACTTGAAGTTTGGACTAACTCGTCTAATTTTAGAGTCGTTCATTTCAACGATTCTGTGGAAATACAAAAATAACCGCACAAGTGGTTTTATTCTCAGATTTTAAGCCAGTTCATGAGAAAAATTGGAAATAAGGATGTGGTAGAGAGATCGGATGAATATGTTAATTTAAATCTATAGAAAAACTAGTATACATGGTTTTTATAAACTCAAATGCAAAGGAAAACTGCAAATTTTACAAAATGTACTATCAATCTTGATCCCATTGTTATTGTCACTGTAAACAGTCAATTATCACTTCCGGCATCTCAGATTAGTTTATATCTTAACATTTCTACAGTTGGGATATATAAATCTCTTTCGAGTAGGGACTTCTGTATTTACTTACATTACATTCACATATTTACAAATCTTTATCATTTCTAAATAGAGTACAAAAAGAACAGAGGCAAAAATATTTTAGAAAATTATTTTCAAAATTGAGGTGTTTCTAAAAACTGGTTTTATACCGTTATTAACTGAATTTAAAAATATTTACATACATTACGTATACATAGAAAGTTTACCATTTATAAATACATTTCAAAATGTACTTACATTTAAAAAAAAATACGACAAGTCAGTTTCACTATCACTGTCGTTATCGAGATCTATAATAATTGTTTTCTTGAGCAACCTATCTGTATTTTTCCAGCTGTCATTGGATATTTTCTATATTTCTAATTCAATTAGATGAACCACAGATGAATTTAGGGTAAGCTAAACATTACTTTTCCTTACCGATGCTTTTAACTCATGCCATATGTGTTTAATAGGATTGACCATGCAATAGTAAGGAGGAAGTCTTAATACTTTATGACCCATTTCTTCCGCCAAACTGTCGCAATAATATTGTTTTCTATTTATAATGGAAAATGATTTTAAAGTTTCAATCAATTGTTTTTGCGTAAATGTGGTTAAATCGCGAATGCTTTCTAGATCTTATTTCTTGAGTGGATCAGTCTCTTTTGTTTATGTTATCTTCTTGGCAATATCTCTCCATTTTTTCGTGTCTCTAGTTTTTCCTCTCCATTCTTTGGCTCCCGCCCTTTAGAGGTCTTCTTCAACTTCTTGCAGTCACTTTTATCTTAGTCCTCCCCTTCTCTTTCTTCCTCCTGGATTCCACTCTATCATTGCGTATGTCACTGCCTCATCTCCTGCTCGCCAAATGTAACCTAACCATCTAACTCTGCATTGCTTTATTTTAGTTAGGATGTTTTCCGAAAGTACTTCCTTAATCTCTGCATTTTTCTATATTCATTTTGCTCTGTTCTGATTGGTGCATCATATGGTTCTTATAATCTTTCTCTCTGCTATTCTTAAGTTTTCTTCATTTTTTGTATTCATCGTCATTGTTTCTCCTGCATATAATAACATTGGCCTGATTATGGTGTTATAAATCTTAGTTTTCTTAGTCAATGTTTTGGTTTTAAGTACTCTTTTGTTTCCAAAATAAGCTTTATTCGCTGATATTATTTTTTCGTTTATTTCGGACTTTCTTTCTCTGGATTTGCTTATTGTAACTCCTAAGTATTTGAAGTTTTCTACTTCTTCAAAATCAGAACTTCTGATTTTGATTTTTTCTTTCATTGGCTTTTTCCCTAATCTTAAAATTTTTGTGTTTTCTTAATTTAATCTTAGTCCCATTACCTCCCATTTCTCTTTTATTTTTTCTAGCATTTCTTTCATTATTTTCCTGTTCTTTGCAATAATAGCAATATCGTCTGCATATGCAATTATTTTACCACCTCTTGTTCTGAGATTTCCTTTATTTATATTTCATAGTACATATTTTAATGCTAGATTAAATAGCGTTTCTTCGACCCTATCATAAAAGATTTCTTTCTTGTCTGCATTGGTTTAAATGATTAAATGGTTTGTTGTTGACTCTAACATAAGCCATCTTTTCGCATATTGACTTGAAATTGATAATTTTCTCTCTTAGGTGCCTTAGTATCATGAATTTCACTCCTTTTTAAACTTAATTCTTTCCTCCTGAATATAACATTGTAAAGTCTTGTTTATCAATCTGTCCTTGTCCCTCCCAGCGTAATTCTTGCAGTGCTGCAATATCTATTTTATACTTTTTGAGTTCTTTTCCTATTTCAGCTCTCGTGCTATAGCTTGAAGTAAACTGAGTTTACTTTAACTTCTTCAAACTGAGTTTAAACAGAACTCATATGAGTACTTTGATCAGCGAAAGAGATATTTTAAAAATAACTCGTCTACGAATCTACCAGTTTTGCGTACAAAGACCGGCCTAAATAGTAATAGGAAGATCTGAAATAATGCTCGTATACAATTTTTCCATTTGCTCTGATTGTTTGTTTGAAGAAATATTTATTTGTGTAGGTGGGTTTATAGGTAATTATATTAAGAGTGTTTTTGGCATCTTGAAAACTGTATGAAAACTTAAATGCAATTTGTGTGAAGGAATGTATAAGTAGTTAAATATTTGTTATTACTTTTATGAAGAATTAAATTAACTTTCAGCGTTGAATGTTAGATACTTAATAAAATAACAATGCAAACCATTTATTTTTACACACAACAGGCCGTTAAGGCCTAGGGCATTTTTTTACAACATAATCCTAATATTAACTAATTACAATTATTTTAAACAAAACTTTAACTTAAATATGTATATATAACATTCTTAACTACTCTGAAGGACCTGGTGTACAATATTTCTCCATTCGCTTCTATTTTGTGCTTTTATTTTCCAGTCCCTCACCTTCACATGTTTAAGGTCTTTCTCCACTTTACTAATCCACCTCGTTTTGGGTCTACCTCTTCTTTTGGTGCCGATTAATTTTCTGGTTATTACTAATTTAGGCATTCTGTTTGCTGCCATTCTTTCTACATGTCCCAACCACCTGATTCTTTGTGCCTTGACGAACTTGGTAATGGTAGGTTCTTTGTATAAAGCCATTAATTTATTTAATTCATTATTGGTTCTTCTCTCCCAACCATCTTCTGTCTTCCGTCCTCCGAATATGCGTCTCAGTATTTTCCGTTCCCATCTTTCCAGAGTATCCTCTTCCGTCTTATTTAATGTCCATGTCCCACCGGCATATGTTACTGTGGGTCGAATTACTGTTTTATATATTCTGAGTTTACCTTGTCTAGAAACGTATTTTGAGTTCAGTAGGGCTCTTAAAGTACCTAATTTTTTATTCCCTTTTGCTATTGTGGCTTCGAGCTCCCATTTCTCTTTTCCATTTTCATCGAAAACTACACCCAGGTATTCAAATTTATCCACCCTTTTAAAACTATAGCTTTTACCACTTACTGACTTCACACTAAAGTCTTCTTTTTTCCCTTCTGTTCCTCCCATGATCATATATTTGGTTTTGTCTTTATTTAGTTCCAATCCGAATTTCTGTGCTTCTTCGACGATTTTCTTCACAACTCTTCTTAATTCTTTCTCGGTTTTTGCTAGGATCGTTAGATCATCAGCAAATGCCAAACAATTGTGCTCATTTTTCATGATCGTTTCTTCCATCTACATGCTGCATTTTCGAATTACAGTTTCTAACACTAAGTTGAATAATGTATTGGATAAAGGATCTCCCCGTCTCAAACATTTTGCAACCGTAAATTATAGAACCGTACAGTAGATCTGTCCTTTCTAAAGCCGGCCTGATATGCATGCAGGATCCTTTCCGTGTAGCAATTTAGTTTATTTCTCAATATTCTTGGCAAGATTTTGTATACCGTGTCTAATAAGGCTATACCTCTATAGTTGTCACACTTCAGTTTGTCTCCTTTTTTATGCAGAGGGCATATGCGGATCTCATACCACTCCGATGGCATTACTTCCTTTTCCCATACTTGCACTAGTAGCTGATATATTTTTCTTTGTAGTTGTTCTCCACCAAACTTGATCATTTCTATGCATATGTCATTTTTACCAGGACTTCTGTTATTTTTCATTTCTTGTATTGCTGTCACCACCTCCTCCTCTGTAGGCTGCTATTCAATTATCGCATCTTCTCCAACTGTCCAGTTGTCTACTGCTTCGTGGTCCTCCTCACCATTTAATAATTCTTCAAAATGTTTTTTCCATTCCGTCATTAGTTCTGCCGGTTCTGCTAATTAAATTTCCGTCTTTACCTTTCATATAACTACAGTGGCTTTGGTAACCTTTTCCCATCTTTTTAACTTCTTGATAGAATGACCTCTCTTCTATCTCTTTTAATTTCAACTCATTGTGGTTTCTCTTTTTCCTTCTACACAGAGCTTGCAATCTTCCTCGAACAATTCTATATTCTTGTTTTTTACACTCTCTATTACCTTTTAATATTTGTTTTCTGATCTTCTTCTTTCCTTTTCCTAAAGGTCATGTTTTTATACAAATAGTTTAAAATTTACTTATACTTTGATCATTAGGTAACTAAAAACCTGAGCAGAACACAGATTTGTTGTAAAATCATGATCTAATTGACCCACTTTACCCTAATTGAAACTTCTTGAAATTTTTATAGCTGGATAAATGTGGTAAATAGGTAAAAGTCGATTTTGAACCTATTTTTGCAATAATTAATAATCAACAAATTAACACAAAAAACTTTACACCTTCTCATTTTTAAGGATGTTGTTTTTCAGTAAAATTGTGTCAATTTCCATATAATTAACCGGTCTTAAAATTTAGTAGGTATACCTTTTTTTATATTTAAAATGAAATAGCAATTGTTTATAAGTAAAAACGGCGTTTAATCTCTTGCATATTGTGTATTACATGTTGTTATCTTCAGATTTATCAACAGCAGTTGTTAGATATCTATATGAAAAAGTGTCACGAAAAAGGTTTTTTATTTGCTAATTAATTTCTCTGGTCTATTGTCCTCACGCCCACAGTAAGGTTGTTACTGTTTTTTTTTTATTGTACCTACGTCATTGGTTACTGCGATCGGTAAATATTCACAATACATGTTGCTAGTGACCTCTTTTAACAATTTCCCAAACTACATCCCATTCATCTAAAGAAAGCACTTAAAATTGTGGACAGGATTGTAACTATTCTTCTTATTGCTCTGCTTTATCTTATTATTTTTGGAATTGTAACAAAAATAACTTCAAATAAACCTGCTTAGACTACAGCACATGATTGTTTCTTATTTAAGCATTATCACCGCTAAATTTGTAGTATATTTTAGGTTTTCAAAAATATTGAAAAGTTATTTAATATTAATCATAGGAACTTTGCACATCTGTCTAAAGGTAGCTGTGTATAGTTATGAACTGAACATTATATCGAGAGTGCATAGGCGGAGACACGCATGTTTTGAATGATACAAATAAAAATATTTTATCAATTTTGACAAAAAAGAAGTTATTCTATATATAATAAATTGTAGTGTAAGTATAATTTAAATTCCTGTTATTGATGAACATCTCCTTGTTCTACAAAACTTTGTACAGAACCATAATTGTTTCAAGTTTCTATTTTAGGTATGTAATAAAATTCTTGTAAATTACACAAAATTTTGAAAAAATATAATTTATAACAGATCATGTTAAAAATATATAAAATAAGAATAAAACATTACCCTATTTGGTTTATATGTGATTTAAAAATTTTGTATATCAAATGAAAAGCCGTGGTAAATTTATAAAAATATTCATACTTTCCTTAAACATGGTGTTATTTATACCTAGTGATCGACTGTAATGATTTTCATTATAATTATTACTGTTTTCCCGAATAACATAATAATATGGAATTTATTTTTTACTTTATGAGAATTTTAGTACCTTGCTTTATTTTTGGAAGTATCCGTTCATGACCTCTCTCGGATAAATTCGGTAGAAGGTGTTGTTAACTTCATACCAGTCTGTGAACCTTGAACTCTTCTGATTCAATATAACCACTACGGGATCAAAAAATTTCCCTAGTGAGTATAGTTGCCATTTCTATTTTGCGAAATGGCTGCTGTTTCAGACTTTTTTTCATTAGGAAGTATTGTTTGGTGTAGAACTTGTTATAATAAAGAAATCGAAGGAGAAGTTTTGGCATTCGATCCACAAACGAAAATATTAATACTAAGTATCCTTTTTACAATAGGTCAAAACGTGAGGACATCGGTACACTGTTTTGCTTTTGGTGAAGTTAAACTTTAATATTAACTGATTAATTTAACAATGAAATAGCTAATTGCATTATGTAAAAAACATTCGTCAAGAGTGCAAGATATGTATTTTGTAATTATTTAATTAGTATAGTAAAATAGTTTTAAATATTTGGCAAAACAATAAGAATGGTTAGTTGAATATCTTGTTTTCAGCCATTTTTGTTGTTAATATTTATTGTAAACTAAATGAGGGATTGCAACTTAGAGGTAAGAATTTTAGGTATTGAGGTAATTTAATGGTACCTGGAGGTGTTTTACCTATATTAAGCTGTTTTACCTGTGTTAAGCAATGTTAGAAAGTAAATTTGCTGAAACTTATTGAAATTTATATTTTCCTTAATGTATTAACAGAATGTATTCCCACAAGTGGAGATCCAAAATTGAATGACATTCATTTTGTTAATTTATCCCTGGTTAGTAAATTAGAAGTCAAGAAAGAAGTTACAAATGGCCCAGAAATTCCACAATCCTTGAATTTACAAAGGGTATGTTTTTTGCATATTATAATTTTATTGTATTTATTTATTTAGTATTCTTCTTGGTACTTCAGTAGAAATAATAATTGAAATTTGTGGTTTCTATTTATAAATAAAACAAAGAGTTTATTACATTATTTAGTTTTTCTTTAAGCATGAGTCATAATATTTGCTAATCTTTATCTATTTGATAGTAATTTTCCTAATAAACTAACAATAGTTGATAATTGTTGTGAAATAGTTATATAAATATCATTTTTTCTAGTATTAATAGTTAATATTGTGAGGATAATTTTATTATTTTTAAATAGATATGTTTTAGAAAGTGTTATGAAAACCAATTATTTTGAAGGTATATTTTGAATTGTTTTTTAATTTGAATAAAATATTTTGTAATTAAAGCAACACTCACTTCTTCAGTGTTCCCACTTCTGTAATTTTTGACTTTATTTATCTTCTTTTAGGACTTTTTAATGACTTAAGGTTAAGGACTTAGTCCTAACAGTTATGATATTAAATTATTTAGTCACCCATCTATGTACTAGAGTGACTAGACTATTAAAAAATCTGGTTTCCATCTTACTTCTTACATCATTCCCTTTTCCTTTATGTGTATGCAGATTTGGTTTCCCCAATAAATAGTGAGGCTGAGTCTAGCTATCATCTCATCCAGAGAAACATTTCACAATTGAGGGGATAAGACTTCCCTTGTGGACAGCCTCTGACTAACTGTATCCCCCAGCAATATTGCGAATATCTCATGGTTCCTCAGTATGCAGTTTATTCAGCTGCAGCTTGTTTTGTCTACTCCTTTTAGATGAATTGCTCTATATTGAAAACTGCACCCAAATCACATCTTCATTTCCAGAATGTATTCCAACTCTATATGAGATGATGCATTTATCTGTTTTTGTACAAATGACATCTACATTATCAGCTTTTGGGACTTAGTTTTTTCGTGCCCAGTTTTAACAACTTTTGACTCCTACGAATCTACTTATAATAAATAATAATAATAATAATAATAATACTTAGATCCTTCATCAAGAGATAGCTATCAAACTGGGACTTCTTCAAACAAACCATCTTCCATATTATCAATATGTTCCTGAGAGTATACTTGAGAACGACATTTACAAGCTATACTGGGATCTCACGGTGCTCACAGACCAAACAGTGGCACATAATAGACCAGATCTCATACTAGTTAATAAACTAAAGAGACAAACAACATTAATTGATGTGGCGATACCCAACAACAATAATCTTCGTGTTAAACAGAATGAAAAAACCGCCAAGTACAGGGATTTGGAAATTCAAATACGAAGACAGTGGAAAATGGAAAGTACCCAGACAATATCTATTATTCTCTCTACTACTGGAGTCATTCCAAAGAACCTCCTAGAAAATATAAAAAAGCTAGGTCTGAATGCACATCTCTACAAGACCATGCAAAGAGCTGTACTACTCTCAACATCCCGATGTGTACGAAAATTTTTGGGAGATACTCCAGCATACCAAGTCACCTAGGGCTCGATAACACGGAAAGAGTCCCACCAGAGCTCAATCCTTTTGATACCGTAGGTATCTGGGATGAGTGAATTTTCCCCTTAGAGGGAGTGTGAGCCGTATGGCTAAATCTGATAATAATAAGGAAATACAAATAAGAAGACAATGGAGAATGGAAAATACCCAGACGATACCTATTATTCTTTCTACCACTGGAGTCATTCCGAACCTCCTAGAAAACATAAAAAAGCTGGGTCTAAATTAACATCTATATAAGGTCATGCAGAAAGCTGTGCTACTTTCGACGTCCAGATGCGTGCGAAAATTTTTAGGAGATACACTGACGTACCAAGTCACCTAGGACTCGATAACATGGAAAGAGTCCCACCAGAGCTCAATCCTTTTAATACCGTAGGTATCTGGGATGAGTGAATTTTCCCCTTAGAGGGAGTGTGAGCCGTATGGCTAAATCTGGATAATACTTATAATCAATCAAAGCAAAATTGTTGAGTCCTTTGAGGATCGATGTCAGGTAGATGCTATCTATAATGATTTCTATAAGGCATTTGATAAGACGAACCATGAGATATTATTACATAAACTAGATACTGTAGAGTTTTCGCCTAACCCTTGTTGATAAAATAGATCAGGGAACTTTATGAGTGGAAATATTCAAAAAGTAGAAATTCGAAACTATTGCTCTGATGTTATTGAGGTTACTTCTGGTGTGCCACAGAGGGTTCACTATTTCCCCTTGTTGTTTTGTTTGGTTATTAATGACTAACTTTACTAATAACTTTATGACTTAATGACAAAAAATTTACCATACACAGATGTGTTAATGTTTGCATATGATCTCAAACTCTTTAGATGAGTTAATACAATGTTACAAGAACATTAAAATGAGTTTCTTCTAACTATTCACGTACAGTTCTACTCATATGCACTGGGTAATTATCATGTTGGAAGATGAAGTTGTTATTGGGAAATGTCTGGACCACTGATGGCAATATGTTCTCAAGAATATGTTTGTAATATCTGATTAATTTTTCTTCTATATGAGAATAAATGCTCAGGCCCTCAGCACTTATCCATCTCCAAACACTGACTGAGAATCTGTCTGAATCAACTCTGTCTCCTCACTAGCTTTTCGTGTTGTGGCAAAGAAAGTGTTTTTCTCAGATCTGCAGCAACTTATCTTAGTGACCAACCTTCTTCAAGTTTGGCAATTGCTCAATCCATATGACACTGCGATTTTATGGTATTACTATGTAAAATATTCAGTGACCACAGTTGTACATGATTACTAGGAAAATTTAAGTAATATACATAGTAAGGTTAGAGTGGGATAGATGAAACAGGAGGAAGTGATTATGAGCCTTGTGAAAGAGAAAGAAACCTTAAGACTAACAATGATGTATGGAATTGAATGTTAGAGTGTTAACACATTGAGTGCGGTATGAGACCAGCATGATCCCACTTTTATGGGATCATAGTGCCATATGAAGCCACTCTATTCTCACCATTTATGACAAAAAAATATAACAGCCTATAGGACTTTTTTATTTGTGTATATGGTGGCACTCAACATGTTAAAAAAAAAGAAAGAACAACAAATACATAGGAAGAACAGCAAAAATGAGAATGCTTAGATAGATCAGTAGAATAAAATTGTAATGTAATACAATTTTAATTTTAAATACTTTTAAACTCATTTTAATGTTCTTGTAACATTGTATTAACTCATCTAAGGAGTTTGAGATCATATGCAAATATTAACACATCAGTGTATTGTAAATTTTTTGTCATTAAGTCATAAAGTTGTTAGTAAAGTTAGTCATTAATAACCAAACAAAACAACAAGGGGAAATATTGAACACTATGTGGCACACCAGAAGTAACCTCACTAACATCAGAGCAATAGTTTTGAATTTTTACTTTTTGAATATTTCCACTTATAAAGTTCTCTGATCTATTTGATCATCAAGGGTTAGGTGAAAACCCTAAAGTAGTATCTAGTTTATGTAATAATATGACATGGTTCACCTTATCAAATGCCTTAGAGAAATTAGAGAAATCATTATACATAGCATCTACCTGACATCGATCCTCAAAGGACTCAACAATTTTGCTTTGATATTATAAGTAGATTCGTATGAGTCAAAAGTTGTTAAAACTGGGCATGGAAAAAGTAAGTTCCAAAGGCTGATAATGTAGATCTCATTCATCATCTCATATAGAGTTGGAATACATTCTGGAAAACGAAGAGGTGATTTGGGTGTAGTTTTCAATATAAAGCGAGCACTTAACAACACTGAGAGCAATTTATCTAAAAGGAGTAGACAAAAGAAGCTGCAGCTGAATAAGCTGCATACTGAGGAACCATGAGATATTCGTAATTTTGCTGGGGTGATACAGTTAGTCAGAGGCTGTCCACAAGGGAAGTCTTATCTGCTCAATTGTGGAGTGTGGCTGTGGATGAGATGATAGCTAGACTTAGCAACAATGGACATTATATCCTAGGCTAAGCAGATGACCTGATCATCAGACCACTACAAACTTAATGGCACATTCGGTTATAGAATGCACCTGGCTCTGACTGTAATTGCAGAATGGACTTCAAATGTATTTTTATGGGTCTAATCTTAAATTGTACATATCTAAATCTAAAGTAATACTAGACTCAGAGGTTTACTTGGAATTAGCAGATACATCCAATAACCAAGAGAGCCGTAACTATGTTAATGGTAGCCAGATGTGCTCATGAAAAAGTGTTTGTTTTAAAACCAGACATGTTTTGTTTAATTTATAACATGGTAGTCAAACCAATAACCTAGGGTTACTAAGAATTTAAGTAGACTTACATATTGAATAGTATCTATGAAAACAACAGATATCATAATATGTATATATATGTTAGATTTTCAGCAATGAAGTTTATGTTTTGTAGTAATCAAGATTTTTTTTTGCAGCTAAATACTAGAGTACGGAATCAAGTAGATGAAAAGAGGCGAATATTTCAAGCAATATCTGCAAATGTTAGTTCTGAAGGTCAGAGATTGTTCATAGCTATAGCTAAAACAATTAGTGAGGTTAGGTGGAACGATTCAGAAATTGTGGTTTTTAATCGAGATGTAAGTATTTTTACAATATGTTTATCAACAAACTGTCACATTTACTCTTGCTACTGAAGTCTCTCTTTATGAGAGTTTTTTTACTACTATTTTTCAATGTCTGTTGTTGCTATTACTTGGAATTTTTTTATTCTGAGAGGAGATTATATTAAAACGTCAATAATAAATATATATTTAATGACTGGATATAATTTATATGTTCAAGCAGCTCTAAATTCACTGTTATGGAAACACAGACCTACTTTGATTCTCATTGTTACTTAAAGGCTGCATCATATAAAGAAAGGTACTGATGGTTGCCAATTTCGATGCATGGAAAAAATATGGCTCTGATATACGAAAGATTTTGCAATATTTCAATTCAAAGAAACCTTATTAGAGAAGACCCATCTAAGACTGTTAATTTCAACAGGAGAAGAAGCCAACTACCTTTGGAAATGTCCTTTAAACAATTCATCCAGTTCCGTTTTCTAGAGAGAAAAAACAAACCATATATTGCTTGTGCCTCTAATTTCTACTTTCTTTTATGTTTATCAAGGCTTACATATGAATGATACAGCCCAAAATATGCACCCTGATCTTGTAATTCATGATGATAAAATAAATTTCCTAAGTTGATCAAAATCCAAATTATTTAAAATTTATGTTTTCTTCATTTTGTATTTTATTAAATGTATCTTATATACATAATTAATTAGTGAAAGGTAAACTTACTGATGTGTTTAATTTTGAGATGGTTTTTTTTTTTCACTTACTGGAAAAACTCAAATTTTGACTGGTTTGCTTTCATCCTCCAACCACAATATAAGAGTTCATATTTGAGTTAATATTTGAATTTTAGGTTATAATTAGTCCACCTTACCAATTGGAAAATATAAGGGGAAATACAAACAGTAAAGAATACACATATATAAGGAAAGTGGTGAGTATAAAATACTATTTTGGAGATAGCATTGTGTGTCTTAAACTTCTTTAGAACTTTTCTAGGAGCTTGAATATCATATTTAATATATTTTAATATAAAGATGTACCCAAGACAATAGCAGATTTGTTTTTATGTCTGAAAAAGATAAACGTATCAAAAACTATACTATATTTCTTGTTGTATGATATATATCATGTATCTTGTTACATTAGTTCCAAACTGCACCATAGCTAACAACTAAATTACAGTCAAACAGTAGGCAATATACATTTTGTTAAAAGTCACAACTTTTTATTCTGGAAATCATCTGTTTTAAACTGAACATGGTTTAGCCAATTGTATTGTACATATTTCATTTATTCGTGACACCCATCCCAGAATTCTGGAACCTGTACGGGGTGGTCCAATAAGCCGATCTCTCGGCTATATATCAGAAACTATTTATGTTATAACTTTAGGAAAAAAAATTCCGTAGTAAAAGTGGCCAAGAGAATTCGCTGGAAATAACTTAACTCTCTCTTCTGGGTTAGTTCTCTTGGACACTTTTACTATGAAATTTTTTCTCCTAAAATTATAACATGAATAGTTGGACCACCCAGTACAAGCATGTACTGGATACTTTTCGAATACTTGCCTTAGCATGTGTGTGAGATCACCAGTAGATCGGTTTGGCATAATTTTGTATATTGCATTAGCTTTTCCTATGCTCATAATTTTCTACACCCAAAAAGTTTTAACAAAAATATGATTTATATAAAATTTTAATTTGAAAAATCAGTAAATGTTTGAAATTAATTAAAAATATGTATAGTAGGATAAATACATTTTTTAGTGTTTACATCTAATTTCAATACTTTTACAATTCAGTCTATCAATATTAGGAATCGTGACTGGTATACACTATTACTTATTATTATTAAATATAATACATAAACAACACAATACAAAAATTATATCGAATGATCCAATCTGAAAATTAGAATTTGTGAAACTTCAACTAATATCTAATATCAACTTTGCATTGAAGAATACTGCCGATTGAGAGCAAACTGTAACGATCTTAAGTTCCAGTACTTGACATCGCTGGCAACAATGTCGCTGTTCAGACAATTAAATTTCGGGAAAATTAAAATATTAGAATATAATGTATGTGCTGCCATCTACTCAAAGAATTGTTAAACGTTAGTTTATTTGAATGCTACTCATTTTAACTGCGGCGTGAACATTCCACCTTAAATCTTTTTGTTATTTTTTAGGTCGAGAAACACATGAATGATTTAGCCTTAAACAGCCAGAGTCAAGGAGTTTGCCAGAACAGTACTTTGCAATAAGTTAAAACAAGATCTAGATAATTTATATATCTATTGTATGATATACCTCTGTTACATTTGATTTTCAACAAAAAATCCGAAAAAACTATTTTTTATTTGCATATCATTGTATTAAATCACAAACTTTTTACAAAGTGAAAATCATTGTTTTTTTTTTGTTCATTTTTTATGATTTTGTATTGGACAGTATACAGTTTCAACTTTGTTTTTGCCAATACAATATTCATCTATTTATTTTATATGAATAAAAATAATAATTTACTATTTAGTATTTTATTTTTTATCTTTTCAGAATGTTAATAGCTATTTTATTTTAAAAGGTGAGCTAATGTATATAACAGGCATGATATGGCCTTGTGACGATTTTTTTTTCTATGGCATAAAGGAAAATGGTTAGTGGATATAAGAGACCAGTTACCAGGGGCCGTATCTATAAACTATCTTGTAGTACGAGACCAGCTTCTTGCATAGACAAAAGAGGTCACAAAGAACCAACCAATGAAATTGATGTCATGAAAGTCAAGGAACATATCAGTCATGTCCTTGCTATAAGAGCCATTACACACTTTGTGATGCTCCAGATAGAAACTGTTTAAATCCAGATTTAAATATTAGAAAGATGTATCAACTTTATCAAAAGAAATGCGAACAGGAAGGTTCAGAACCAGTCCAAGAAAATGTACTATCACGTTTTCTCATTAAATTTCAATCTTCACTTCAAACCTTCATCTAAAGATACCTGTCAGTTATACGATTCTTTGCAAAATACCATCAGATGTGGGAATAACGACGAAGATATACAGAAAGCACAAACCAATAAAGAAATTCATCTCAGAAAGTCAGAACTAGCGAGAGATTCGCTTATATATATATATATATATATATATATATAATATATAATATATAAATATATATATATATATATATAGGGTTCTTGAACTCCTAAGTGGAGCATAGAGCTTCAGTGAAAACGCGCCATCGGGTTCTATTTTGCGCTAAGGCCTTCACCTCATTCCAAGACTTTCCTTGTTTTCTTATCTCGTCCATGCTGGATCTTCTCCAAGTTTGTACTAGGCGACCTTTTTTTCGTTTTCCTTGGGGATTCCACTCTAGGGCAGTCTTTGCAATACTGGAGTTATTTTTTCGGAGTGTGTGACCGATCCAACCCCACTTCTCTGGACTTTATTTCATTTACTACCCTCTTTTGTTTGGTCAGGTGTAGTAAGTCTTCGTTTCTGATGATGTTAGGCCAGAAAATACGAACAATTCTTCGTAGACATTTATTAACAAAGACCTGCAGTTTGTCTGTAAGGGTTTTTGTCGCTTTCCAGGTTTCACATCCGTAAAGTAGTACAGACATGACATTTGACTGGAATATGCGGATCTTTGTCCTCGTAGTGTATTCTCCAGACCTCCAAACAGGGTTGAGCATGCTGAAAGCTTGTTGCGCTTTTCGTATCCTCATACGAATATCGTCTTCTGTACCTCCGCTTTCTGTTATGACACTTCCAAGATACGTAAAGTTTTCCACATTTTCAATCTGCATGTTATTAATGGTGAATAGCGTGTTGTTTCTTGCACTTATTCTCATGGATTTGGTTTTACCAATATTGATTTTCAAACCTATTTTATTGGCTTCAGTGGAAAGTGTTTCCAATTGGTCAGCCACATCTTGGAACCTTTGTCCTAACAGGCAGATATCGTCGGCGTATTCTAGATCGCTTAGGCGTGTGGTTAACGTCCATTGTATCCCTCTTGTGTCAGAGTCTAGTTTGGAGAGAACATAGTCTAGAGCTATGTTAAAAAGAAACGGAGAAAGCACGCATCCCTGTCTGACTCCAGTAAGTACGTCAAATTCGTCACTGTTGATCCCATTGTGTTTCACGCTGCATTTCGCTTCAGTGTACAGTAACTTTATAATGGAAATTATTTTATGCGGGATGTTTCTTAGCTCTAAAATTTTCCATATTGCATCATGAGATAAGCTGTCAAAAGCACGCTCGAAATCAACAAAAACCATGTATAGGGGTGTGTTCCATTCAACCGATTGTTCCATTATTAGCCTCACAGTATTAATGTGGTCTATGCAGGAGGATTCTGGTCTAAAGCCTACTTGATTAGCTCGAAATTCAACCTTGTTTGTTAATCTTTTAAGTATGATGGTCGTGAAGATTTTGTTTATGGCGGTAAGCAAGGTTATTCCTCTCCAATTTTTGCATAGTGTGAGGTTGCCCTTTTTTGGAAGCTTAGTAATTATGCCTTTTTTCCAGTCCGCTGGAATGCGGTTTGTTTCCCACACCTCTCGGATTATGGGGAGAGATTCGCTTAACAAATGTAAAAATTTAGCCGATAAAAACATTTATTCTTTGACGGTATACAAGGCAACTATCGAACACGGTGATTAATTTAATCTTGCCCAAGTACTTTCAATTAAAAGATCATCTTCAGGGGCATTTCGTCAGTTGTGGGCTATCCGACAGAGTAGAATGTAAATACATAAATGTAAATTTAGACATAACAATACAAAATACGATACACAAAGACAAACAAACACTTTAAAATTATTCAACAGGAGAAGCTACATGTATAGAAGCCGGAGACATGATGGGCTCCCGGTCTGACGGAAATCATGTCTCCGGCTTCTATACAACATGTATCTTCTCCTGTTCAATAATTTTAAAGTGTTTGTCTTTGTGTATCGTATTTTGTATTGTTATGTCCAAATTTACATTTATGACATTCTACTCATGTCGGATAGCCCACAACTGACGAAATGCCCCTGAAGATGATCTTTTGATCGAAAGTACTTGGGCAAGATTAAATTAATCACCGTGTTCGATAGTTGTTTTGTATACCGTCAAAGTTTTATTCGAACATTCAACCTTATATTGAAAACATTTATGTTCTTACATTCGTCTACAAAAAGCTTTGAATTTTCCCAAACTAAGCATGTCTGTTACTTATTATAAGACGAACTTATATGTTTACAATTTGGGAATTCACAGTTTCGACGACAACAAGGGATGCAAATATATGTGGGACGAAACAGAGGAATCTCGAGGTTCACGAGAAGTTGAATCCTGCCTGACAAAACATTAAAAAATGAATGTAGGTGTTCCGTGGATGCGTGTGTGATAAACTTCCACGGAAATAATAAAATTGAATAAAACGTAGAAACAAGTGTTAATAATATTTATTATCGTAAAGCGTAAATAATTCTCGAAGGGACGGTATTTTTTGTTTATGTATCGCAGACCGATGCAAATGGTGTCTCAATGATTAATGAAGCTTAAAAACTAAACTACCACTCAAAACACGCGTTCTTTGTTTTTTTTTTAAGCCAGACGTTAAACTTTTATTATCGGGCTGGTGGTCGTTATATTATATTTCGTTTCCCATAAATGCAACGCACTCAAAATGTATAATTAAAGTGTCGAGCATGTCTAATATCTGTAGTAAACAAATAAATATATTGAGGAACCTTTCTATTTCTTATGTGTATAACCAAATGCGAAAATGTAAATTTTAATATGAGATTGTTTTATTTAATATTTGAATACAAAAGTTTAATTATACGTAATTAGCTTGTTGCTATAACACCCCCCTTCGAGAAATATGGATAATACATTGGAAATTGAATAGGTATATCAGAAAAAGACAATGTTTAAACGAGAAAAAAAATGTTACACTGAAAAAATATTTTAACTAAAAAAAATGATTTAAGTGACACTTGCTTGATAACTTCCCGTAAATCTCTTTGTCTGGTCTGCTGTTCTCAAAATTGTTGTGGGTGTTTGTTTTTCTTGACACTGTGATTTTCTCTGGTTCTTGATTTACGTTGAACTAATACGCAGGTTTCAATCTATCGATGGAAATTGTTACTTCTTTTCCGTTTACATGGACGACAAATGTTTTGTTTGCTCGTTTAACTACTGAAAAAGGTTCGTGATATGGTTTATCTAAACCGATTTTGTCGCTACGTATGGTCAGTGCTGCTATATGGCGTAGAGGGCTGGACACTCAAAACGAGGGATATAAACAGATTAGAAGCTTTCGAAATGTGGCTTTATCGCCGTATCCTAAAAATACCATGGACAGCGAAAATCACAAATACATATAGATGTCCTTAAAAGAATAAACCAAGAACGTCCAACTTTTCGAAACCATCAAGAAAAGGAAAACGGCGTATCTAGGTAACATCATGCGAAATGAAAAATACCAGTTCCTTCAACTTATAATCGAGGGTAAAATTGAAGGCAAGAGAGAAATGGGACGCAAGAAAATGTCCTGGCTCTGAAACATAAGGCAATGGACAGGGATTAACGACATACAATATCTGATACATATTGCAAGAAATAGAGAATTAATGGAAAATGTGATCGCTAACATCCATTAGTGGATTTGCATCTGAAGAAGAAGAAGAAGAAACCGTTTTTTGATTATGTCGCGGCGGACAAACATGTGAGTGGAGTTTTCATCTCTTTGAAAATATAAAGTGCTTTTGGACCCATGTTGCGACGGTTGCTTATTACGGAGATTTCGAATGGTTTCGAAGTGTTTTTAAATAAATATGAGCACTGTTGTCGGTGTTTCTTTACGACTGAAAACAATAATTCACCGGGCAAACAGAATGGTTCTCCATAAACGAGTTCGGCGGCTGAAGTACCTAAATCTTCTCTCCATGCTGCTCGTATGCCCAGTAACACTGAAGGTAGGCTTTCGGTCCATCGAATTGTTGCCTTTAATTGTCGATGAAATCTTTCCACCATGCCATTTTCTTGAAGGTGATAGGCGGTTGTTCTTAAATAGATAGTTCCAGTTCATTTACAGATTGATTTAAAGAGATGCGATTCGAATTGTCGACCTTGATCAGTTGTTATATGCTTGGAAGTGCCAAAACGAGCTATCCAACCAGAAAAAAATGTCTGGCTAGTGTATCCGCTTCTTGATTCGGCATTGGGAAAGCTTCCGGCCAACGCGCGAAACGGTCGACACATGTTAAACAGTATCTGTTTCCTTCAGAAATTGGCATCACTATAATGTATATGTGAACATGTTCGAATCGGCTGGAAGGTGGTAGGAAACTTCCAGTCGGTGAAACAATGCGGCGCAATATTTTTGACACTGTAGACACGCTCGAGTCCATTTTTTCACATCTGATTTGATTGAAGGTCAAACTTATCGCTGTGTGATCATCTTCACAGAACTGTTTGATTCGCAGGATGTGCTAGATTATGCATGCTGCCAAAAATTTCATTCGGATTGGTTTCGCTACAAATGGTCTGGCTGTAAATGTTGCTACGTCACAGTACAAACTAACGTTTTATTCCGGAAACCGTATTTTCTTTAATTGCAATGATGTTTTCTATCTTTAAGTACGTTTTTTAGTTCTGAATCTGTTTCTATCGACTCGAGATAGTGCGTCTGCTACAACATTTGTTAATCCAGAGATGTGCTGAATGTTGGTGCAAAACTGTCCTATAAAATCCCTAAAGTCCTATAAAATAAATCCCTAAAGCCTATAATTCAGGACTTTTATATCGCTCATTTTAGGATCTACCAAGTCTTATAGATTTGTAGCGTTTGTGCTCCTCCAAGGAATAATTGTCAAAAAAAAGTATATTCTAATTGTCTATAGTATTCATATGTTGTTGGTTTCGTTCTTACTTCTTTAGTTGCTCTTAGAATATCACTTAAAATATGGTACCTACCTTCAGACAAAAATTGTTTCACTTAGAAGGATGTAGGTACCTACCTAATTGTATATTAAATATAGCTAGGTAGTTCTTAATTCCAAACAACTTTCATATAAATTTTCGATTCTGTTGAAATTTAAAGGTACTTTACTTTTGAGCGAAGTTCATATTTTTGACATACCCCGTATAATATTGATAAAATTTTATACCTGATGCATTTTAGGTTTTAGTTACCTAGACTATGTAGAGCTTTTTATAAAGAATAATTTTCTTCGTAAACTTAATAAGAAAAGAGTTATCTTATTTGTAATATTTAAAAATGATGTTATATAATATTAAAAAAAAAATTGTAAAGGATACTTTTTATAAAAGTATACATTTTCATTATTTAAAATAACAGATTAACTTAGTATTATTATTCTGTTTTAAAAAACGTAATTACATTCCTCGGTAGTATAGTGGTAAGTATCCCCGCCTGTCACGCGGGAGACCGGGGTTCGATTCCCCGCCGGGGAGGAAATTTTTTGTTTTTTTTAAAATTTTTTTCTTATAAAATATCATCTTGTTCTTAAAAACATTTGATTTACGAAATATTGACCGTCAACTTTAAAAAAATTATTGTAACATTAAAAAAAATTGAATCTTCAAAAAAATAATAGAAGTAAGTAGACAAACAGTAAGAAAAAAATCAAAATTTTAACTGCATCAAAATAGAATAGCTTGTACCTAAGTAGAAGCTAGCTGATTCTAGTTCTGTCAGCTTTAAAATAAACAAGTAAAAAAACTTTTGAAGTATGCAACACACATTACAAGGTTAAAGTATGATAACCTTTTTAGTTTAATAATATTACAGATAAAGTTAATAATTACATTTTTATATTATTATAATTAAATTTTAAGTGTACCTGGGAAACTACCCAGCTTTATTGTAAAGTTTTCCACATTATAAAATGAAATATGAATATCTTGTCTTTGATATTTCCATAGTGCATATGTAGGCAACTAGGAAAATTTTGTGCAAATATCTATAGCTCATAATTAATTTAAGTTATAAAAATTTGTATAACATTTAAAGGTATATCAATTTTCTTTATCTCACCATAAAGCCTTCGCCAATCACCCTTTTATTTTTCTGTCAAATGTCATTGCAAATTTGCTGTTATATAAATTCAACGTTACCTGAGTTTTGGAGGTCATTCTGTATTTGTTAAATGTTAGGGATTAGTTTCTATTTTTATGTGTTGAATTGGTGATTTTATTAAAGGAAGTGTTAAAAAAGCTCAAGTTGTAAACGATGTTATCTCTATGTAAACAGAGCTTGTCTTCAAGCTTTCAAAGGTCAGTTTTTGAACTTTCTTGATAATCTTATCGGCATATGTTAGTTTTATTATACAATTCAGTAGTTACCGTTTTATTAATTTAGATAAACAATTTTCATACGATAAAGCAGTAATTTTTAATTTGAAAAGATATTTTTGTTTTGTCGGTACACCAATATTTTGGGTATATTGTCATGCGGCATTAGGGAACTTTCCATTGACAGTTTCATTTGAAATTCTGAAGTAAAATTTCCTGTATATTGAATTACTTGAAATATTTAATTTATACTAAAAACTATATACCAGGATTCTGCTGTTTTCTATTATAATGAATTTTCATTATTAAGTAAAAAAAAAACAAACAGAAACAGCTGATAATGACATAAGGACCAAATGATTTTTACTTTATATAAGGAGAGATCATTAATTTTTTCATCCGATTAAGTAATAAATCGTCGTTTTTTTTTATTGTTTAGATTATGAAATCAACTTGTTCACTTTACTGTAACAAAAAATCTGCTATGCAGCTTAGTAGTGATAAATATTACTTAAGTGAGATAAGAGAGATGCAGTTTTATGTTTATGATCAAAGTTCAAGGAAACTGAGGAAAATTTATAAATAGGATTTACATAATTATATATGTATTTATATCTAAAAACATATTCCTAAATATTTGTGGCAAATTTTTAAGTTACAAACCATTTCTATTGGGTCAAAATCTTTATGTACTTCAATAGAGATTAGTATAATTATTAGCAACCTATATGCCTATATATAAAGTGCACATGATTGCACTTTTATGTGCATATCAACCATTTTTATAAATATACTTTCATAGGAAATTTCTACTGAGTACTTGGACCTTTTCCATGTCTTACATGACAAATTTATAATTATCAAATTTAAATTGGTATGCTTGGGATGTTTCTGTTTAGTTTGTGTAATTAAGTTCACCATGACTGAAACAAGTGATGAGTAAGTATACACCAAGAGAAAACTACTACAAAGTGCTTATAATTTGTGGAGCCTCTAGCTGTAGTACCATATCCCCACAGTAGCAAAAGTTGATACTCTTTTTGTATTGGGCTCATTATCCATTATGAACAATTATAAAGAATTTTCTGTGATAAGCAATAAGCTGTGACATATGATATTTATTTTTCTCATCTTTTTTCTACTATACTGATTAAGAATTCTATAAAAATTATAGTAGGGTAATTAGTAATACTCTCTTTAGGCAAGTCAGGTTTGAGAATTGTTAATAAGATTCCTTTCTTCCATTTTATTTGCCTCAAATACAATGTTCTAGTGTATTGTAGAGGTTTTTTTTATTTTATTGTAGATTTTTATAAAATCTTCTTGCTCTATAGAATAGTTTTAGTGTTTTCAGGAATTTTGTTAGTAGATTGAACTGACATATGAGCAGTATTGTTATTAGGTATAGGCAGTCTTGGTTTACACTCATAATCTAATGACATATTTTATGGTCACTTTCTTCAGTACTAGTTAACTATCACTGTTAGGCTGCAGCAATATTACTGTTTTCAATAATTCTACAGTAATGTATTGCTCAGTGATTTACAGCAAATAAGAGTAAAGGCATACCTATGTGTAAGATTGGTGCAAGAAAGAAGCAGATTAATTTATAAATGGTGAAAATATAACTGATTCTGTACCTGCCTCCTGAAGCTGCTCCCTTCTTTCGCCAAACAATGAGACCTGTAACTGTTAGCTTGGTCTCAAATGGACTTAACGGAAGTTTAAGTTTAGTATTCAGTCTATGATTCAGTCAATTGAAGTCCATTGCTCCAACAGTCAGTGCATTTTACGAAAATTGACCACATGTGTTTCTCTATAACTGTTTATTTATTTTGTAAGTGTTTTTTAATATTTATTTGTATCATGAGTGGTTCAGAATCTGATTTTGCTAATGTTAGTCTGTTTAGTAGAGGTTTGTCTGATCTATATAATCTATTCGAATCGGAAAAAGCTCTGATCCTGATGAAGCAGGGCCTTTAGTGAAAAGAAGGTTTATAAAAAAACACAAGTTTCCAGTCAATACAGTTCAAAACGAGATTCAGAGTGTTTTCATTAGGGAAGAATAGAAAAAGTGTTGATCTAGCTTAGTGGAAACAGAGTATTAAGGTTATTTATTAATATTATTAGTTTTGAAGAAGGAAAAAGTTATGTTAACTGAATAGGTAGTAGTGTGTGACCTAGGCAAAGTGAACCTAATTGTGAATGTAAGTTTAAATGTTTTGAAAAGGTGAACGAAGAACAGAGGCAAGCAGTTTTAGTAAACTTTAATCAAACAGGAGACAAACAGATTCAAATTATCTAATTGGCTCGTTTAATAACAACAAGCAATGTTGCCAGAACTCGAGCTAAAACTGGTGAAAAAATACGAGTTTCTAGGAGTGCATTCGGAGCAATACTACACGGGATATCCAAAAATATGAGTGGATAATATTGCTAAAATTTTGCACAGTACCAATATTACATCCCCGAACAGCAAACAAGGTAAACATAAAATAGAAAAAACAACATTTTAAAAGATTTACTGCAGAAGGTAGATAATTGCATAAAAAGTTTTCCACTACGTGAGTCACACTACAGCCGAGTGAAAACGTCTCGTTGTTATTGGTGCCCTGATCTCAATGTTAAAAAGATGCTAGAACTTTATTGCACGTGAATGAACGGAAGTATGTGATAAAACTATAAACCTATAGTAACCCTACGATTTTTTACTGTAGCATTTTAAAGCAAATTTTAATTATAGTTTTGGGGCGCCTCGTTCAGACACCTGCAAAAGATGTGACATATTACACAATAGCCTTCATGATCCAGTTCTTGATAATACTGAAAAGGAAAATTTAACAACTTAAAAAAAAGTAGGTACATGAGGTGAAAGCAAGTCGTTTTTTTTACAGACTTTAAAAGAAAAGACAAACGTAATCCAACAAAATAACGACATAGAAATTTTAACGTTTTGATTTTCAGCAGAATCTTTTCTCTGCCGAAAATTCCGTCCACGAAGCCTTCTACAAACGTCAACTATGGGTCCCTACAATTTTTGCATACACTCTGGCAAAATCGGCAAAGCTTATTTTTACATTTACGATGAAACATCTGCTAGAAAATCACCGAAATAAAGTTGTTTATTTTTTTTATTCACTACATAAAAAGTATCCTTCCAAAAATTGTCAGACAACTGTAACCTCTTTTCCCCATAATGCTGCAGCTCCAAATAAAAATTCAATGATAACTACAGTTTCTGCATCTTCTTGTAAGAACCACGTTTTTGGAGAATATTCAACATCGTTTTCCTGAACCAGGGCACAGTTTTGTACCGTGTGACCGTTATATGATCTTCAACTTTAGCAGTCATTTTGAGAACCATTTTAAAAAAGTTATAATGAATTCTCAGAAACAAAGATTTAAGATTTATCAACACCGGATTTTTGAATACAGCAAGGACCACATGAAGACAGTTAATGTGTCTGTTACAACTGGTATATAATAAGTGATATATAAGATAATCTTTCAGTTGAAACTAACTTGATGGTGTACGTGTCATCAACTACGTTTCAGCCAACGAAATGGAGTTTTACCAATCCCTTAAATGTGATGACGTTGGTAATGATAGCCAATGAATCCCAGATTTCAGGCACGGATGACGACCACCAAGGAGACGAATAGATTGATTTTCTGTTTGAATATAAAAGAAAAAACGTGTTTTGTTAATTTTTAATAACAATAAACAGATTTTGCAGTAACTTTTTTTTATTTTCCAATAATAACTACAATGGATACTATTTTTTTGTAATTTTGGTCGAAGAGTAGGGCAAGCTCCAAATTTTTTTTGCAAAAAGAAGCTTATGTAAATAAAGGAAAAAGTTTTGCAGGGTACCAATATGATTATCTTTTAACTACAACTGCTTTAATGTAATTAATACAGTGTGACCCCATTTAGATTTTCACCTCTATAAAATTTGAAGTTGGTAACCGATTTTAAACCAATTTTTCTTGATTTCTTGATTGGATTGTCATGTAAATAAAAGGTCTATTGCGGGACAAAATATGAAATATTTAGGTAAATTTTCAGGGCATTCTACGGATACTTATTTTCCTTTCGTCGAAACGGAGAAATTTGTATTAGCGATTTTTTTATTAAAAAAAATTTCTACGCCACCTGGATTTACAGTGGCGTCATATAGCTATGACTTACATTTCATTACAATATATTTAACCCATTAACTGCCAATTTTTCTTTTCTTGCTAATATCGATTTTTTGAATACTGATGTATAATTATTTGACAAAAATAGACTCCATTGGTATGTATTTATAAAATCTGTCATTTTTTGACGTTTTTTATCGTGGATCCCCAATTGGGGATCATGGCATATACTATGCTTAATAATAACATAAGTACAAGGTTAGTGCAAGGTATATTTTTATTACAAAATATTGACAAAAAGCAATTAGTTTGAATGCCAAGCAACTACACATTCTACATGTAAACCAACATTACATTTAGAACACTGTTTTCTTACATTCGATTTGCAGACCGCACATTTCCTTTGCTTGCCTTCGGGAGTCCTTTCAAGATAATGTCCAACTGGATCTCGTCTCACTGGTTCAGGCACACGTTTTTGAGATTTCATTTTTAAAGATGGTCTTCCAAGCTTTTTTGGGTCTGAAAGTGAATTCACCCTTAAAAGAGCTTTGGCTACAGCTCTCCTGAAATCAAGTAATGGAACACTACCATTTGCAATAGAGTAGACTGCGTGAGCATTTACTAGAGCCATATCAATAACGTTTGTAAATAAGGGGAAATACCATCGCTTTGCTCTAATTTTAATTCTATATTTTTGGATATTCCAATCTAATTTGTCTACTCCCCCATATATTTATTGTACTTAGCTATAACATTGGGCTGAGGCAAAAGTATTTCTTTTTTTTCCGTTCGCGACCATCTAGCGACTTTGGCTATTGGCAGGACCTCTTCATGATTTG